TGGTTTTTTTTGTGTAGTTTTTTTTTAAGAGATTATATTAGTGTATTTGGTAGATGAGTAGTAGGTGAAGGTATTTGGTATTTTTTCTTTTTGTTTTGGCTTCTATTGTTAAATTCTATTAGTATTGTGATAGGTACACTATATCTTCCTTCAACTTCGTTGAAAAGTGCGTTATCATATAATTTTGATTTTCTGGTAGTAGAATATACGAAAAAATAATCTGATCAAATTTGATTTTAAATTAAAAAAAAAAAAAAAAAAAAAAAAAAAAAAAAAAAAAAAAAAATAATTAAATAGTTAGTTTCTAAAATACTATACAGTTGTGAGTTTCCTACGATATTCTCTATGGTGGGTATCTCTTAACTACTTAAAATGTTGGAGATAGTGAGTCTGTTAAATGGGGAAGACTTGCATTTTTGTGGAGTATAAAATATGCGCCTTTGCGGATTTTTGGAGAAGTTCAAGGACTTACTAGATATTTCGAAAAAAAAATTTTGGCTATTTTTTTTTTTTTTTTAATGGCACCCTCGGTATAATTCTACCGTATGATCGAATTAAAACGGTCAACGAATGGTATTGAAATGAAAGATCGTGTCATTTTATATGTAAAATTATAATAATATCATCATCGATCGTTCATTTCATAGCCATCGTGACGCCGTTTTTTATTCGATCATACGGTATTTTAGACAAAGACAAAAAAAAAATTTAGTCAGGATTCTATAACCGGATTAATAAAGGCAAAAATAATTTACAATTTACAATAAAATAAAAGTTTCGTTTAAATTTCTTAATCACCTGATCACTATTAAAGTTTGCAGAAACCCGAGCTATATTGTCACACCCCATTTTGTGGGTTATGACTAGGGGCATAGCGGAATAAAACAATTAAATTAAAAAAAAAAAAAAAAAAAAAAAAAAAAAAAAAAAAAAAAAAAAAATATTATAGAAATAAATGTGTACTTACATATTATATTATGGTGACGAACATCATCGCTGGCTCGGGGGTAGTGTCAGGGTAGTGTAACGCCAATGCCCGAATCTCGACCGCGACCTCATCGAACTTACTATCGACTATCAACTGTCCCAACGGTGACATTTTTGTATTGTATTGGATGTCGTGAGCGTCGAATCAGTCCGAAATCCGCATTATGTGGATTTAATCTCTGTGCGATACCGGTGCGAATGACCCGCTTAGTGCTGACCTGTGATTTACAAATTCGCCCGTAGTATTGAAAGGAACATATTTCGACCATGCCCATTATGCTTAACCTTTGATTTTTAAATTTACTTTTGTGCCCGTAAATGATGATGATTTATATTTTTAAATTCAAAAAAAAAAAAAAAAAAAAAAAAAAAATATATATATTAAATATGTTTTATATATCAGGATAATCATCTGACACTTCCCCGACCTCTAAAGGTGGACCCAATGCGATATTCACAGATTTATTGAATTATATTACAATAATTTACCATTAGAAATAGTTAATTGTGTTATAATTAAGTTCCTATAAAAAATGTATTAAGATATACAAATTAAAAAAATTAAAAAATGGTTTTTTTTTGTTTTTAAAGAAATAACTAACTTAAAAATATAAAAAGCTCTCTGATAAGTTTAACGATGGCATTTAGGCCGTTCTACATATAGACCCAATTTTTAACGAAAAAAGATGTTTTTTTAGATACTGGCACTAACGTGAACTGCACAGTACCTATATAGTTTTTAAGTTTCATTACTTTGCACTGACTTCGTTCATAAAACACCCACCCACAAATCTCGTCGGCTGCTCACGGAGGCTGAAAAGTGAAGTTTTGATTGTAGTATCCACCTTCACATCCTAAACCTAACGAATGCACACATGCCTCCCGTGCCGGCCTTTTGAAAAGTTCTTTGTTTTGGTAAGCTGTTTCTCAATACTTGCGTCCTTAGGGAGTTGTTTCTTGATATCGGTGTAGGCTGACAATGAAAACCAATATTCCAGTGATATTTTTCTGTTTGTGATCTGGATTAGGCGTCGAATTCGTCTTTCGAGAAGAGACCAGTTTTTTGACAAGACAATAACTCTTCGTGTAGCTGCTTATATCGCCAGACAAAATTTGACAGCACGTTCTGAACCCATTTTTGAATTGGACTACTTGCTTCGGACTGCATTTCCATAGTGTACTGTTCACAAAACTTCATAAACAAGGGTAGGCAGTTTGCATCGTATAGGCATGATGTTGTGGTACTACATTCTTCTTTCTCCTTCGGGGTTGAGTCCATACGTCGATTCTTCTCGGTGGTGTTCCTTGACTTGTTGCTTGGTATTGGCAGTTTTGACCAGTAATTACACGAAAAAAGAGAACCAAAGAGTAAATATGTGCTCTTACTTACAGCTTATTGTATTAAATTATTATGTCTTATAAACTAGTTCTTCAAGTATATTCAAACTTAATGCCAGTTTTAAGTTGTGGTTTTAATTTGCATTCTTGTCACTTCAGTTCAGATTATCAGTTTTTATTGTTTCTTGACGGCAAGGAGAATATAAAAATTTTATATGATAATTATAAAATTTAAAAAAACAATAAATTATATATCTTTCTTTGGCAAATTTGTAGGATTTATGAACACTCCTACCTAATTTGGGTATTGCCCCTCTTTTTTTTT